TATTCACTTACAGAATGAGCCCCTTGCACATAATACTGATATTTCAGGTAAAGTATTTGCTCAAAATTAGTAGGAAGAAAATGAGACCTCAAATGCTGCTTCAACTTATACTAACTCACAATCCTTCATTTCCTCTCTCTTTGTCTCAATTGAAGCAATTGTGCCCACTAAGCACAAGCACCTATTTTTATCCTATAAAAAAAAAACGAACTCACTTGTTTGTCTGCTTTAAACTCCATGTACTCAAAGGTCTCTAGTTCTAGTAGTCTTCGATGAGCAAACATTCATGAGAGAATGAAATAAGTTCCATGGTATCATAAAGTTTCTCCAAATCAATATCATAGATAGTTTTTTGGTGATATAAAGTTTCTCTTGAAAAGTGGCAGAGCCTTTTTTTTTATTGGATAGACAAATTAATTATTTTAAAAAGTTTCTCTATATTTATTCAATAGTTATTTAAATTTATAAATTCTAAAATTTTAGAGGGTTCAAAAATTAAAATTTTTAATTAAAATTCTATTTACATAATTGAAATTATATGATATATAAAATCTAAAAATTTACTTCAAGTTAGAGAATTAGTCTCCTCATGACCCCTTAAATCACCCTTTTATTTTACTATAAAATTATATCACTTCACATGAAGTGTGAAATTTCATTAAGACACTTTGGAAATAGTTTTAATGCCGATGCCTTTGGCCCCACTCATTGAAGCCTGAGCTGGAGATTAGAACTTTTTTCTTAAGGATGAACATAGGTTGCAAGAATTGTATAATAATTATGGATGAACATACATGTACATGATGCATGCAGATAGTGGTGGAGTCATAATTATTTTCATGTAGGGGCATATTATTTAGGAAAAAAGTTCTTTTATATTACAAAAATATTAATCACATAACTGATCATTACGCAACTCTCATTGATCTGTTGTTAGGGAGCTTTGCCTATCAACCAGAGGACTTGTGCTCTAATGTTGTGTAAGTGATTTGTGAGTATACCTAAATTAGCCTAAATGTCCCATATTTAAGGTATATGGTATTAGTTTTATCAAAGCTTCAAGGTGTTAAGTTGTATGATCCAATGGGTAGGCAAAAATCAAAAGCCATAAATGTTTCCATTTACAGACAAGAATAAAAATGAAAATTGTAGACAAAATGAAAACCAAAGGGGTTAAGTTGAAGAATAATATTTGATGATTTTACTTTGTAAGAGTCTGATACTGAATAAAAATCATCCCAACAAGAAGTCCTTATTCTTTTTTCTGTATATGTTTCAAGTGAGAGCATTAGTCCGCTCATGCCCCTAAATTTTCCCTTTTAATTTACTATAAAAGCTTAATGTGTTTAGAACATATAAAATTATATCAATTCAGATGATGCATAACATTTTATTAAGATGCTTTGAAAAAGGATTCAATGTCAATTCCTTTAGCCCCACTCACTAAAGCCTGAGCTAGAGATTAAAACTATATTTTTAAGGATGAACTTAGGTTTGAGAATTGTATAATAATTATGGATGAACATACACATACATGATGTATGTATATAGTGTCAGAGTCATTATTATTTTTGTGTGGGGGTGTATTATTTAGAAAAAAAATATCTAATATTTCAAAAATGTAAATAACATAGGTGGTCATTATGTAATTCTCATTGATTTGTTGTTTCAGAGCTTTGGATATCAACAAGAGGTCTTGTGTTCTATGGTTGCATAAGTGATTTGTATGCAAGTTTACCTAAATTAACCTAATTTTTCCCATATTTAAGAAATATGTTATTAGTTGCATCAATGCTTAAGGTGTTGTATGATCCAATAGGTTGGCAAAACTCACAAGCCATAAATATTTCCATTTACATACTGGAAAAAAAAGGAAAATTGAAGCAAAAATGAGAACCTAAGGGGTTAAGTTGAAGAAAAAAATATGATGATTTTACTCGTAATAGTCTGACATTGAATAAAAATCATCACAATAAGCAGTCTTTATTCTTTTTATGTATAAGCTCTGTTGTAAAGAAAAATGACTTTTTACCTCTGCTAATCAAAATTCTACCCTCCAACAATTCATCTCATCATTACTCTTTAATTATAAAGAAATTAAGCACAGCTGAAAGGTTTTCATCAACTCATATAAAGTTTCATTCATTTGATATTTAATTATTTCATAAATTTTTGATACAACTAAACATTTTTTTCAAGACTACATTTATTATCCTAAACAACTCCATTTTTATAACCAACATGACAAAACCTATTAATTCTAGGTACTTCAATACATTGCATTTAACCCAAGCAAACTCTATTGATTCATCACTAGCTACATCCATGAGTCCCAAAACTAATTTAAAAGTTCCCTACATCATAGACTATATTGAACCTATGTTGCTTCACATTACCAATGATCACAAACTCACTTTTATCATTATTTTTAGAGACGCTTAAACACACTTAAGAATTATTGTCCATATTAACTATCCTCATGACATTTAAGTTAACCATCACTTAGCCATCATATATTAATGCAATCTATGGAACCAGCACCTCCGAGTTGCTAGTCAAGTCATATCATGTGGCGAGATTAGACAGCAGTAGCTCAGTTATGTAATTAGACATTTGTTATTAAAAAATGTTACAGAGGATGAAGTAGATAGTGGGTGGGGTGGTTAATCAATATACTAGTCCAACATGGTTCCAGGTTCACTGAATACAGTGCGTGAAAGAGCGAGCCTTATACCCCAATAGAAATGGCAATGATCTTGAGGAAGTAGTTAGATGGCAGGTTTAGGTTGATTATCATCAGTGTATAGTTCACACTAGGGACAGAGCTACCTAGTTTGAGATATCCAATTGTGCTGGACTCTAATGATTGATAATATGAGGATACCTTGTCATATAATTGAGCTATCTTGGAAATAACTAAAAAAGCCCACCCCCCCCCCGGGAGCCATGGTCTAGTAACCCATATGCTTGTCAAAATTTATTGCTATAGTTAAATCCATAGTCATAGTGAAAGTTCTGTATAGTACCAAAGGAGAATGTCAAGGTTTCTTGAATGAGGGAGCTATAAGTATAAAAATCATTTCCATATTCTATCTCAAATAGAAGTGGAGGTAGTCGAGAAACCAAATCGATCAATTTGGGTATAATAGTTAGAGTTACATGAGAAGCTAACGAAGGTGGATAACTAAGTTGGGTCATAAAATGGGTCTTTTTGGTCATAGTAGTTAATGCAAGGGACAGAATGAGTCAAAGTGAGATTTCTATTTGTGTTGAACCTAAATGACAAGGACATGGTAGGGGTTCTTAGGTCTATGTCAATGATATAGTTCCAGTACCAAGAGGATGACCAATGTTTATTATGTCTCTTATAAAAAAGAGAACTGTCAATAGGGTTGACATGAGAAATGGGGTTGGTAGCCCAATGATGGATGTATTCGGTGCAAGCTTGGTCCTGACAGAGGAGTTCCATATGGTACACCTTCTCCTTCGATTCTTGAGAAGAGAACGTGCCGGGGAGATGGACCACATTGAGCTTGGAAGGGCTTAGGCATGTCACAATTTCAATAATTAATTAATGTACATATTGAGGTTTTTTTTTTCTTTTGCATCCCATTTAAGCATTTGATATCTGTCAAATGGGCTTTATCATGTGACTTCTTCATGATTAAAAATTATTCTAATTAATTAATGAAAAAATAGTCTCCAATAAGGTATTAAGAAATTATTGAAATTGCTCACAAACTTTTATCAGACATGGAGTAAGAGATGCTTGGTAGCAATGACTTGACGTCAATGACATGTTTTTCTCTAGCAAGACGTCACTTTGATGCTAGAAAATTCTTCTCTATTAGAAGAAAAATATATTAAGAGATAGAGAAGAATATAACAAGAGAGTAGAGAAGAAGAAGTTTCCATGATAATAGAATTTTGAAGCTCTGCTTTAGATAATTTGGAGAAGTAAGCCAAGTGGAGGTGGGAATTATAGGCGGTTAATTATTACGTATAATCGGTTAGTTTAGAATATAAGTCAGTATTTTATGTGAATATTAGGTGGTGGAAGAAGAGATTAAACAAGAGAAGGTTCTTTATGGTTGTTAAGCCTCAAAGAACTACCCCGAGGCTAATCAAGAGGGGGGGGGGGGGGGCTAACCAGGGGGGGGGGGGGGGGGGTTGAATATGTAATTTAAAATTCAAAAAAAGAAAATATTTTTATAGCTTCTTTCAATATCTATAAATAGGCATTTTTTACCTGTTGATGTTGAAGCAATTTCCATTCACAATAATAAGAAAATAAAAATTTTTAACCATACAATTAATCACAAAAAAACTAAAGTGTGGAAAATAATACAAAAAAACCACACTAGAATTTATAGTGTTTCAATCTAACCTGACCTATGTCCACTCCCCAAAACCCTCCATTCCATGAACAACACTAAAAGTAGTTTGTCACCTTTTTCCCCCAATGTAAGGTGTAGAAGCCCTTACAAAATCTCCTCAATCAACCCTACGTGGCAGAGAACCTTACTCTTTTTCACCCTCCTAGCGAAGGCAAAGAAATTGGAATAATTTTTCTCCCTCCAAGAGATGGAAGATAACTCATAATCCTTTTTCTCCCTCCTTTATATGGCAGAGAACAAAGAGCTAGTTCTTTGGAATGTCTTTTTTTTTTTTGAAGAAAATGCATAAAATTGTTTTAAAACAAAAGGAAAAAAAAAAAACAATACAAACCTCAAGTCACACCTTGAATACTACTATCCTCCTTCAAACAATACAAGAAAAAAGGAGGAATAAAATCTAAATGAAGACTATCCCAAAAAAATGACCCCATTTAAAGCCAAATTAACGTAAATATCCACTAACTTATTGCCATTTCTACCAGAGCAAGAAACGATAACTTGCTTAAAATTCAGTAAAAAAGCTAACTCATCTTCAATAACTCTACTAACCTTCCAATTCTTGATTGATCTCTGAAGAATTTTAATGATATTGAAGTTGTCTCCTTATATGATAACCCCTTGCGCTTCAAACATCCACTCTTGGATCACATTCTTCAGGTACAATACAGCAAGCATTTCCATTGAGCCAAATCCCAGTGCAAAAGTTGATAACCGAAGCCTAACAGAAATCTCCCAGTGCCGTCTCTAGCCACACCACCAATACCAGCTACATTTTGATAGCAGCATCAACATTAATTTTTATCCATCCGGGAGGAGGGGGATGCTAATGTAATGACAACAATTGCTGGTTAGCATTCCAGTTATCCGGCTAAAAACTAATGAAATTACTCCTTAAAGCATATGAAATTGAATTAGCAGCTATATAGGTCTCAGAGTCTTCTTTGTCACCATGTACGAATTTACATCTGCTCTTCCGTACCATCCAAACCACTGTACAAAACATATTAACCACCAAAGCATTCTTCCCTTGCAACTTCTGGAGTCCAACCATACATTCATTCAGACTATTAAAAATTGGAACATTAAACCCCCAGTTATTTAAAATCAAAATAATTTTCCTAAGTTTAGAACAACTGCTCACAATGTGGTTCACATTTTCCTCCTCATCACATCCTCTTGGACATTCAAAAAAAGTACTCAACCTTCTTCTCACGTGGAATGAAAAAGTCGGTAAGGAATAGTTACAGATTCTCCACCAAAATAAATCAATAATTGGTTTCAGCTTTAGCCTCCTCATCCAATTCCATTGATTACTAACCTCCACATGATTCATATTTGCTGTAGAAGCCAATGCTGTGATTGATTTACCAGAAAATTTCTCTATAAGCTCCAGCTGATCATTCCGTTTGCTTTTATCAATCGGGATATTAGATATAATATCAATTGGATGACTTCCAAAAGCTTCTTTCAATTTGTCAAAATTCCACTGACCATCCGAAATGAATAAGCTAAGAGGGAAATATGAATAACTCTGAACATTAACAAAGGTAGGCCACATAGAAATGCATCTATCCAAAATCCACGTATTATACATCCAATTGATTGAATCACCATTAGAGATCTTCCATCTAATCACATTCCTCAAAAATCTAGCACCCATAGTAATGATTTTCCAAGTTGTTGAGCACCCAATTTTAACCAAAGACGACCAGATATGTGAGACCTCGTTCCCTTACTATTCCTCTCTGACTTGGATTTTCCTCCCAGGATCGTCCGGGACGATATTGAGATCGTCCAGGCTGATCTATACTGTTCAAAATATCATCCTGAGAATAGTTCTGGGAACCGTCCAGGACGATCGATTTTGGTCTGATCGTCCCAGGATGATCTGGCGATCGGCCGGGCCGATCAGCTTTATGATTTAAGAAAATCAGCTCATTTTGAGGAGAGAGAAAATCATTTTAAAATAAAATATCTGATTTGAGGAGAGAGAAAGAGAAAGGGAAAAGAGGAAAAGCTGGGTTTCGGAGGCCACGGAGCGCTTTTCGTCCGACGCCGCTGTTGGGAAAAGTGAAGATCTCGTGGTAAGGACTCTGAATCCTATTTATGTTTTCAGAGATATTGAGTTTTGACCGAGTTGTGCACTATTTTGTGTTTTCGTAGTCGAACTTTTGACCTAATTTGGTATTGACACAACTTTCATCGCACAACTTTTGGTATGTTATAGATATTGGTATTGCCTATAGATTGATTCTACATTGTATTGATTTGATTGCTGCAATTGATTTATTGATAGGATAGATTGAGATTTATCGTATTGCTTTTCTGATTGATTTTATCGACTTGATAGTATAGATTTGATTTGATTTGATTGATTGATTTGACGGATTGATTTGACGACGGATTGATTGATTTTCTTTTGTTTACGGATTTCTTCGAGATTGATGTGGATTGATTGAGCTTGGTTTATTGATTTGCCGAGAAAAGTGCTATAGATTCCTGCATGAGTTGAACAGAGAAGCTAAGGCATCCACTAGTACCTTTCCGGATACATGAGTTTTCTGAGCTGGTGGAGCGGGCCCGATTGATAGAGATTGACTTAGCGACATCGGTATCGAGGTACAAGGATACCAGGAGGAGGAGAGATAAGGTACGACGAGATGATTCTGGTAGAGACAGAGATAGAGAGAAGAAAAGCAGATACATAGTTTCGAGGGGACTGCATCGGGATCTGATCGCGATCTGCAATCAGTAGTACGCTCTGGTAGTTCTGGAGCGTGCATTCACTGTGGTAGACAACATGCAGGTTGGGCTACCTGTTGACGGCGGCAGTGCTTTCACTGGGACAGCAAGGCGCACAGAAGCAAGAGATTGTCCTCAGAAAGGATTGGTGGAAGGACTAATTCTGCGCACGGGTACAGGACCAGCAGAGGACTGTTGGCTCGAGAGCTTACAGTGAGAGATCAGGGAATGGATCGCGATGATAGAGCTGTTCAAGATCAGAGAGAGACAGTTGCTGCCACACCTCCTGACTTCCTTCCAGTTGTGCCACGTGTTTACAGTCATCGAGCAATCAATATAGAGCAACAATGATAGAAAGTTCTCACTGTAAGATTGTGATTTGCTAACCGATTCGATATTTGAATTTGATCACATGCATATTGACACTTTGATTGATTTCATGTCGTGTTTTTGTATGGATTTCAAAGAAATTTTGATTTTGATTTGATTTGGATTGATTGTTTTGCGTTATTTTCTGTCCTCTAACCTCTAGGGAAAATGTCGGCGACGACATTTTCTAAGGTGGGGAGATTGTGAGACCTCGTTCCCTTACTGTTCCTCTCTGACTTGGGATTTTCCTCCCAGGATCGTCCGAGATGATATTGAGATCGTCCAGGCCGATCTGTACTGTTCAAAATACGTTCCTGAGAATAGTTCTGGGAACCGTCCAGGACTGATCGATTTTGGTCTGATCGTCCCAGACGATCTGGCGATCAGCGGGCCGATCAGCTTTATGATTTAAGAAAATCAGCTCGTTTTGAGGAGAGAGAAAATCATTTTTAAAAATAAATAGTGATTTGAGGAGAGAGAAAGAGAAAGGGAAAAGAGGAAAAGCCTGGGTTCGGAGGCTTGCGGAGCCGCTTTTTGTCCGACGCCGCCTGCCTGGGAAAAGTGAAGATCTCGTAGTTAAGAATCCGAATCCAATTTCCTGTTTTCCAGTGAATCAATTGCAGTTTTTGACCAGTGTGCATTGTTTTGTTTTTCGTAAGTCGAACTTCTGACCTGTCTTGGCTATTGACACAACTTTCATCGCAACAACTTTTGGTATGTTAATAGCAGTATTGTGTATTGCCTATGATTGATTCTACATTTGTATTGATTTTATTATTGATCTTATTGTTTATCGTATTGATTTTCCGATTGATTTTACCGACTTGATACTAGAGATTTGCTTTGATACGATAGATTGGTTTGATACGATTGATTTGACTGATCGACGGATTTCTTCGAGATTGACGAGTATTGATTGATTGAGCTAGATTTATCGATTTGCCTGCTGTTGCATTGACTGGTTTCATTGACTATGGATTTCCGTATTGCATAGACTCATTGACCATTGACTGATATGGATTTAATTGACTGACATGCATATTGATAGCATCGCCGTGCTTTGATTTCAGTTATAGGTATTAGGTGACCTACTGGGCTTTGTAATGCTCATTATATGTGGTTGATATTTTCAGGTCAGGGCAAGGGAGCAGAAGATAGGAATTGATCCGGATCTACAGGTTTTTGTCTTTTGATGATTTTGATTCTTTTGTACTCAGGATAGATTTCAGTACTGGTGATTGTAGTGTAGTTCCTGAGTATTGTACATGACCTTTTGAGATATGAATCGACTTGTATATTGATGTTTTAAAATTTATAGATGTTTGATAGACTGTTTAATTGAAGGTTTTAGATAGCTCTGGTAAATTGTTTGAGTAATTGATTAACATTCTTTCCAAGTTAGATCTTGGGGCGTGACAAGATATCTACTCCATACTTAGCTCTCAAAATCTGGTTCAAAACAGAATTTGGGTTGCTAAAGAATTTCCAAGCAAATTTGGCTCGAAGAGGACCAACTTTTGATACTACCGAGAAAAGACCTCTACCACCTTCACATTTTGTCTTACAAAGCAAATCCCAAGAGACGTAGTGAATTCCAGCATTACCATCCCCTTTACTCCATAAAAAACCTCTAAAACTTCTACACATCATATCAAAATCCTTCAAAACTCTTAAAGGAATAAGAGAGAGAGAGAGAAGACATGAATAGAGGTAAAGACAAAAAAGTAGATTTTACCAGGACCAATCTACCTTCAAGAGAGATGTTTTTTGAACCCCAAGTATTTAATCTTCCAGCCGCTAAATCTAAAAGATTCTCGAAATCCGATGGCCCCAATCTCCTCAAAGCCATTTTAATACCAAGATAGTTGATCTCCTTAACCTTTTTAAACTTAAGAAGTTTAATCATTTTCCTCTGAACTCTTTTCCTTGTATTTTTTCCAAACAAGATCATGGATTTAGAGTGATTAACCTTCTGGCCAGTCCAATCACAGTAATTGTTTATAATCCTCCTCAACTCCTTAACATCCTTCACCTTAGCCTCAGAGAAGATTAGAATATCATCCGCAAACAATAGATGAGAAATTTTAGGGGCTAATCGAAAAATAGAGATACCCCTATTAATCCTTAAACAAAGAGCATCAAACAAAATTTGAGAGCACAAAATGAAAAGAAAGGGGGATAAAGGGAAACCTTGCCTAAATCCACACTTTCCTTCAATCCAATCCGTCTTCTTCCCATTAATCAAAATGCAAAATTTTGGATTAAGCACACAACTTAATAAGAGTTCCATAAATTTAGGGGGAAGATTAAAATGAAGGAGAACTTGCCTCAAAGCATCCCACCCCATGCTATCGTAAGCCTGCTCCATATCCAACTTGATTGCTAACAACCCACCATTAGATTTGGACCATCTGAATTTATTGAAAATCTCTTGAGCCACCAATACATGTTCAGACAAGGAACGGCCTTTAATGAAAGCCGCTTGATCCACCGAAATGAGTTTATGAATAACCTTATCCAACCTGTTAAGAAGCATTTTTGCAATAACTTTATAAATAGTCATGCAAAGACTAATAGGCCAGAAATGAGAAGGTTCTTGAGGACATTTGATCTTCGGAATCAGCACAATCAAGGTTTCTTTCCAAAACTGTTCCATAGTGCAAGAGGATAGGAATTGAAACACTGCAGCCCACACATCATCCTTAATCACATTCCAAAAGTCTTTCATGAATGAGAAGGTTATACCATCTAAACCAGGAGAGATATTCCTTTCGGAATTATCCACCACCAATTGAAGTTCTTCTCTAGTAAAATCAGCATCCAGCATACCTTGATCTTCACTGCTAATCAATTTAGACGGATTCGGCCACCCATCTAATGAGCAAACTCTATGCTGCCACTTCATTTTGAAAAAATCAGAAAAAAAAATGTTCTGTATAACAGATTCCTCTTCCGATATAATTCCATCTCTATTCTTAATATGATGAATCCAATTGCTATTCATTCTTGCATTAGCAAATGCATGAAAAAAGGAAGAATTACAATCTCCTTCTTCCATCCATTTGATTTTAGCTCTTTGTTTCCACCAAGCGTTGAGACAAGCTAAAGTGACGTTCAGTTCATTGATTTTGAATCTAAGCAATTGAAGCTTTTCCCCTGAAATACGTTTTTCTGATTCCTCCATCTGTATTTCCAGAATTTCTCTTTTTAAATTGTCTCTTAGCTCATTTAAGTTCTGGTGCTTTTCCTTACTCCAAAATAAAAGACCTCTAAGAGCCTTTTTAAATTTCCAATTAAGAATCAATGTCGGATTACCAACAGATTTTGTGTTCCATATCTTCCTCACTTAAGCTGTTGCACCATGATAAGAAGCCCACACTTCCTCATAACTTATATCCCTCTTACTAATTTCCACAGATTTAAACATCTCAAAAAGAATCGGACAATGGTCCGAGGCAATACGAGATAAATGTTTAACAAGAGCAACCTGTAAAGCATTCATTGCCAAGGAGTTAATTAGACATCTATCTACTTTTAAAATGCGAGCACTACCGGATTTATTGTTGCACTATGTAAACCTTGGACCCAAAGCCTTAACCTCATGTAGTTTATTATTAATCAAAAATTGCTGAAAAATCCTTGGATCCTTGTGACATATTGAATTTCCTCCCACCTCTTTTTTCATCTTGAGAGAGAATACAGTTGAAGTCACCACCAATCACCAAAGGTAAATCAACCGAACAATGCTTCTCCAGACGTTTCCAAAGAAATTTCCTTTCTTGACTATTCGTACTTCCATATACAGAAGCAACAATCCAACTTCCCTTACCAATCACCTCCAATTTCCCCACCACTAGTTGAGAAGAAGCCTCCAAAACTGAGAAAACAGCAAAGTCCTTCCTCCATAAAATCAATAGACCTCCTGAAAGACCACTAGCTGGAACCATGAAAAAATTCCAGTTGCTTCCCAAAATCTTCAAAATTTGGTTGTTGTCTCAAGAGCAAATCTTTGTTTCCAACAAACCAACAAAGAAAACTTTATAATCCTTCACCACTTCCTTGAGATATAGAGCAGCCTCCACTTTCTTGGCTCCTCTACAATTCCAGAATAATAAAGAATTCATTTTTTAAAGATGGGGGAAGCACCCCCAATCTTTTTAGCTTTTCCACTTTCACCCTTCCTATTATGAGATATAATATTACCTGCACCAAGAGATTTGAGTTCTTTAGCCAGTTTTGTTTTCTTATCCAGAGAAATATTACCCTCCAAATTAGATTCTGAGTGATTCTTGCCTATATCAACTTTCTGTACAGTCATAGGACTTTGTTTCTCCGATTTTTCTTCCTTAAAAAAAATACCCATACAAAGCAGAATCAAGGATTTCTCCTTCCTCCAACATTCCTTTATCAATTACAGCACATGGCTCCACTCTATCTCCCTCCTCCAATTCAGATAAAGTACCAAAATTATTGTTAATCTCCACTGTAATGCTCACTTCATTATCAATCACCTGGTTGGCATCTAGAGACAGCCCCTCATCTGGATTATCTTCCACAGTAATTAATTCAACATTATTATCCACCAGACAAGAACCCTCCATCACCTTATCCAATTTAGATCCATCCTCTTTAACAACCAAAGAGTTAAGGTTTTGATTAACAGAAGCAACAGCTTTAGGAATAAAAACTTTTTTCATGGGTACAGAAGTTTTCCTGGGAGGAAATTTTTTATAATCCTGTAAATTATAAACATTCTTTTTTCTACTTTTAACAATAGTCCACATTTCCTTATCAACTGCATTTCCCACAATATTTTCAGTAACATTTTTGATAGGATTACTATCATTCTGATTGCTGTTCTTCTCCAGCCCCATCTTATTCATCGGCTCACCACAAGCATTCAAATCATGTCCAATTTTTCCACAACCAGCATAAATTTTAGAGATTCCTTCATACTCAACTTTTTGGAAGAACTTGCCTGTTAAACCTTCTACCAAAACACCATGGGCTAACTTCATATCCAGGGAAATACGAACACAAACCCTAGCATATTCCCTCTTGCTCCATTGGAAAGAGTTCACATCTAGAAGAAACGGTCTGCCTATCTGAGAGGCAATCCTACAAATATTGATTTCGTCCCAGCATTGCAAAGGAAGATTAGGAAATCTAATCCAAATTGGAGTCGAGATGTCACTGACAGACAAAGGATTAAAATTGATAGACCATTTATCCAATCCTACCACTTGATCCCTGATCCACCAAGGTCCACCTGACAGAACATGTTCAACGGCTGCAGAATCTTCAAACGAGCACAGCATCCAACCAAGACCCAGTCCTGTGATATGGAACTTCCCAAACTTATCCCATTGTCTTATCAAATCTGTACTAATCACATGAAAAGGGATACTATCATCAAAAACTTTAACAACAACTTCCTTTTCAAGTCTCTTGGCATTTTCCACTTCTTTATCTGGTTGGAGAAGAACAACCTTCCCATCATCTGATAAAAAAGATCCCAGATCCAGGTTATCAACTTTAACATAATGCTTTCTATTCCACGCCGATTGCAATCGCACCGTATTCCCTTTAATAGCTTCTGACTCCACCTCTAGCTGATCCTTTATAGATTTTGCTTCGGGAATAACATTACCTTCCTTCACATGCAAATTCTCATTCACAATGTTTGCCTCCTGAAAATTGCTACTAATCAGATCCTTAACATAGAAGTCTCTTTTAATTGGTGAAGAAGGCAAGGATTTTGAGTCAAAATTCTTACAGGAAGAAATTTTCAGATCAGAAGAAACAGAACAATCCAGACATCGATCACCAACTCCCTTAAATTTTCCATCTAGAAAAGACTTACCCTTCAAGAAATTCACATCTTCTTCCCTGATAATATTCTTACCTTTGCCAGAAACCAGAACGGGTAATTCTGATCTCCCTAATAAACCACCCTCATTGATTACAAGGGGTTTACCATTAAAACCCTTAAAATTTTGATTGAATCCCTCCAACACCTTAGAATTTCCATTAAACACCTCCGAAGAATCAAGAATTGGAGTCGCCAAATTCTTCTTACAGTTCTTCCAAACATCAGACGGAAGGAGACGACGTTGCTCAATCAACGTTTCTACAGAACGCCGGACAGCCGGCAGGTTGCCGGAAAAAACCACCACCACCCGCAAGAACCGCCAAATTCGAGAATTTGAAATCCCAGACTATCTCTCACTAACTTTCTCTCTCTAGCTGCCCCTACACTTTGGAATGTCTCCTTAGAGCTACCAATGGATCAAGGCAAAATCTTGAAAAAGACAAGGAAGAACCATACATGGAGTATATTTTTTAATCCCTCACAACTGTCACTCACAAACAACTCTCCCTCTCTTCTCTCCCAAAGCACTCTATTACTCTCTTTCTTTGCTCTCTCTCAAGACACGTAGTAGCTAAAAGTCTTTTCATATAAGACTATGGGATGGCTTAAATAAAGAGCCTCTTAGAAAGCCATAAATTTTAATCTGACATCTTTGATCATCCAGCATGATCCAAGGTCAAACTTTACAATTTGTTCAAAATATTAATTTCAGATAGTATGAACTACAACCCACTAAACTATTAGTTTAAGTGCTTATATTGATCATCCAGATTGATTTAGAACCTCGTCTAGTATGACTATTACAAACACATAACTAATCATCCAGTACAATAGGTGGCATTTAGTTATCATAACATGCAAGAATCGGGATGTGCAGTACTATCATCTCTGATTATTTTGTGTGATTTGAGTGAATAATTTAACTATAATTAAATTCCTAATCATAGGATAAATTTAGGCATGATTTCCTTATATCAAACATTATGATACATATCGTTATTGTACTATTACAAAAAAATTTAAATAAAAAAATACATAAATTACAAGTTACGATTATTTCATGGTTATAATAGATCAACATGTATGATATCGATCATCTAGTATTTTGTAAATCGTACTGCATGATTAGTTAAAAAAACTTTTTTTAACTCACCAACTCACTCCCTTGAGTATTTGCATGCATGGTTACTTAGCTTTAGAATCCACCATAATATTGATTTGACTCAAGAAAGGTAAAAGTATAAAAACACTAAAAATAAGGACTTTATTCTTAGTCTACCTAGTTTTGAGCTGATCAAGGTTGCAAGTGAGCTTCGATCTTAAAATGTTAGTGAGTAGGGAAAAATATATATGCAATAGATTCCAATAGAATAGTGAAAAATCTAATAATTTTTTTTATCATTAAAACCATATGTCTTGGGTCCAGATTATCAATAATAAGGGTTTTTCCAATAAAGAAGGAAACAAATGTATATTGCTTAGGCTTGTTCTTATATTACCCATATGCAGATTCTTTTTTCTTAAACTTTAATTTGATATAAAGTTATAAATTAATTACATTCCTATCAATCAAAAATTTTTAAAAGCTATCGAACATCATATTTGGCTCTATGTTTGATAACATATAAACATAAAGCTAATGATGAGTGTTGAAAACTTAAAATATGCTTACAACTTTCACGCGACATAACTTTTTTTTTTTTAAGAACAAACAAAATTTTGATAGTATACAGAGTGAGAATTTAGTTTAGGGCATAAGATAAGTAATACTTAATTAGTGGATTTTATATTGAATAATTAGATTTTTAATAAAATGTGTAATTTATTTTACAAAATAAAAAAATCTTACTCATAAATAGAAAAAAATTTTAGCTCTGTATTGAATCTGATTGTGTTGATAAATTAAGTTTTATTAGTGTATGGGGCCTCTATTATATTGGTTGAGCTCATTGAGGGGTTTCAAGGGTCCTCTATGTGCTTGGGTTGTAGTGTTTTGTATCCATTTTTTTTTTCCTTTTGCGTACAACATTGTGGAATTATATAGTCAGGTTGGAAAAAAGTATAAAGAGGAGTGTCGCTACACTCTAGATTTTGATGTAATTTTATTTTTGGTTAGGCTAGAGACATAGAGA